TCGATCATCTTGCATTTCGGTTGTGATAGTTCTCCAACACCAATGTGACTAACTATCACAACGCAAGATGATGACATGCAATGGACTCGTAACTGTTTGTCTTGTTGGAAAAATCGCCGCGATGAAATCGCGTGTCTGCCCGACACCTAAAATGAATCATTCCCAGATGTCAACAAGGTGGGATGCCGCGTTCTACTCCGAACAGATCCGTCTCACCAAATTGAAGACAAAGAAGACCATGAACTAGCGCCAGGGTAACATTTATCGAAAGTTCGCCAAAACACATTAAATTTGTACGTTTACTTTCTTCTTGCGTAACTTAGGCAAGGCGGATTAGAAATAGAGATGAATCTCTGGTCAACTATTACAGCAATCTCAAAATGATATTGCGCGCAAACATGTATTGATTTAAATTCTCTTTAGTAAGCCTCTAAACAGACAAAAAATGAACCACTACCTCTTTACGCATGACTTGCATGAAATGACCAGCATCGCGTGGGTTGATGTATAGTTCTCCAACTTCATGAGTGGACATTCCATCGAAAGCGTACATTCTGGCGTCAAGTTTTGAAGTTACACTAAAATGGCACTAGCTAAGTGATACTAAGATCTTAGCAATTGCCGTGAAGGCTAGCCAAGCTAAAAAAGAACTAACTGATGTCGCCATCCGTTCCAGCTAACTTCATCAACCAATGTGAACCATTCTTCCATGACATCACCAGAGTGCCACTCGAAGAAATCGAAATCCATTCGCTCAATGTCCTCTACAACTGTGTCAGCATCACCCGGTCGAGTCCAATCGTAGGCGAGGATTTTTGAATGGCGTCTTAACATTTTAGATGATGTAGATGCGGCAAAAAAATGGTGAAAAGCTAGTCCCACCTGTACTCTTTTAGCGAATCTTTATATGATTCTTCAATCGTCTTCAGATATTTTTCATCGACTGCAGCAATCTCGTCAACCTTCAAAATGCTAAATAATCTTATGGATTGAAATTTCAGGGATCGACTAACGTTTCCTCGAGCTTTAATATTCTCCAGACATTTGCCGACAGGAGCGTCAAGGTAGACAACCAAATGCGGCCAGAAATGCAGCTGTGGAAGGGCAAATTTTCGTACATAGTAATAGTGCTTTAGGTCTGGAAGCGAAAAAGCAGTATGAAAATGAAGGAAGAAAGGAAAAATGATGTGAAATGCTCCTCAGCAAGCCTCAAATAGTCAAATAGCAACAGCTGATGAAAAAGACGTCTGTTTGT